GGGGGGGGGGGGGTTGTGGTTTAGGAACTTGCAACCGGGAGTTAGGTATCATTTTCGGGTTGACGGTGTTGGGGTCGGCACCAACTGGTCTCTTGGTGGTGCAAGCTGCTCTGGATCAGCCCATACGTTCAAGAGCTCAGAGTCGACAAAAAAAAACTTCCCAAGGGCCACAACAGTCCGCTCCCCTAGCTGCAAAGCCAAACAGCAATACCATCCAACTCCGTGCCCCAAAAACTCGACACAAACTCTATTATGGTCACTCGAAGCCCCAGGCTGCAAACGCAACCAAACAAAGACTGAAGATGCCACTACAACGGCTAAGGAACAAATTTGCACCGCATGACACCGAGAACACCACAAAACTCAAACAAATGATCCTTCACAAAAAGCAAGTAAGTGTTGATTTAGAACCTAGATCTGCTTCAGCCTTCCTACAAAGCCTTACGTGGTCCCAGTACTCGGGTGTTGGACGTGAAAATGACAAAGCATAATCATATCACGGTCGCATAAGGTCGCGACACACGTCTACATCCTGCCCGGTGGGGACCTACATTCTTGGTCTGTTTTTGCGGCAATGTTCTCTCGACTCTTACTGTGACTGTGACAGCCAAGGACATCCTTAAGCCCAAGCCCTTTATAGCCCGAACCCCAAAACCACACAAGGAACCCTAACCCTCCTGAACCTCTAGACTCTAAACCCCGAAACCAGAATGCACAAGGAAATCCTTAGCTCAAGTCCGCAGTCTCTGGTCTGAAACAACGCCCCAGGGGCATCGCCACGAGCCAACCTTCCGCTTCGCTGGCACTACTCCTGAAAAGGTTTGGGGCTTTTGGCTTTTTCGGGTTGAGGGTGTGGGGCTTCGGCTTAGGGCCTGGCTTAGAACATACGGTTTAAGATTTTCAATCCCAAAGCGTCTATGCTGGACAGTGGAGATTCCTCTGACACAATCCCCATGACCGGCGTGCCTTAGAAAAGCACATTCACTACAGAGATTGTTGGCAATTAGGGGTTTGGGGCTTTCTGCATTGAGATTTTTTCGGCTGGGGTTGTATGCCTCGGTTCCCGCTCTGCGTGATCGCTTTTAACTTTTGCTCAGGCTCGGACATCAGTCTCTCAATTCTTGCACCGGACTGTAAAACCATGCCATAACATGTGCACTAAACATATTATAGGGGAAAAATAATTTTTACCCAAACATAGTATAGGGGAAAATTATTTTTCCCCTATAAATTAATATGTTTAGTGCCATACCTCCACCACTTCATCCAAACTGCAGCGGGCAGAAGCTCTGAATCCCGCATCCCCAAACCTCTACATATCGTGCACGTAAAGACTATAATAGAGGCGCCTTGAATACCAGGGTTTTCATGTGTTTACATGTATATAGCATAATGTAACTGTTTTCCGGCCGATGAGAAAGGGGTTAACAAAAGTTTAACATTACTGAGTTTCGAGCGACACCCCTGTTATGTACAATGTAGTAGAAGTGTAATATAGCGGCTGTAGGGATTCTACTAATTACAGCATGTGTATACACATGGTTTACGTATGTGTGTATGTATGTATGTATGAATGAATGAATGAATGTATGTATGTATGTATGTATGTATGTATGTATGTATGTGTGTATGTGTGTATGCATGTATGTAAGTAAGTATGTATGTATGTATGTATGCATGTATGTATGTACGTGTATATACATCTGTTTGGCGGTCCGAGCGGCGAGACGGCGCTCGAGGTGATTAGCATGCGGTAGGTCGCTGCATTCGGTGTCGACCTTCTCGGATCCGATCTATCCGCCGCTGTGTCTTTAAGAATCCTGAAACCTCAATTAAGAATCCTGAAACCTCAATACCTGATTCGAGGTTACGTCCGGACTTGCGGTTCTCGGGCCTGTGGGGAAAGGGGAAGATATAGGTTTTGGGTGTTTCATGACACGGAGGTGTAATAGAGGATGTGAACTGCAGCTTGTTTCTGGCCACATTGCTGCGGGCTTGTTATATCGGTAGTGTCCACACCGATCCCAAACCTGACATGCTAGTCTCATGGTTCGAAGCCAGCGCGGCACGTCCCATGCTTGCTTGTCTGTTTGTTGGCGGGGCCGGATAAGTTCAATGGCAATTTTACCTTGGAACACGACTCCCGCACCCAGTACTGCAAGGTACTGACATGTCACCCCAAAAAAGACCCCGCTGCTGCGATCGAAATTGTCATACCGCAATCACAGAGCCTTCAGGCCAAGATTTGGAGCATGTTACATGTTTGCTTGGCCATTGCCTGCGACAAGGTGATCTCCACAAAATCCGAACACACTCTCTGCTGAAGTACGCCGAAAGGGAACCCGCCTGAACTCGGCCATTCGTTGCATCCAATCAGCGGCAGCATCCATACTGTGACGATCCACCTTTGTGCTTCAAGCTCAAGCCTCAAACCTTAAAGCAGGATGTGCCTAAACGGGACACACCGATAGCCACCTATAAGACCTAAGTCGCAGTACAAATGAAGCTGAACCCGGAACCCCAAACCGCGTTACACGGTCTCCGAACGTTTCCACTGTACCCAAAACGGAGCCTAATCTAGAGAACTACCCGTATAGAACCCTTATCCTACACTTATAGAAACCCCTAAGGGTCCATGTACCCAACTAGGAGATACTTTGGCCCCAAAGTACCCGAATAGGCACAACTTTAAGGCCAAAGTATATACTATTTAGGTACATGGACCCTTAGGGAACCGTATAGAAACCCAAAGCTTCTTTCTCTTGTTAAGAAACTCCGGTTCGGCAAAACACTTCTGGTGGGTTTGGACCGAGAGCACCCATCGCCGAAACCTGAACCATCCCCCCACGCTTCCGCAGCCGTTGCAGGCGTAATGTGGGGGCCTTTCTAATTGGCATAGGGTTTTGGTGCATATTATAAAAAGGTTATACTGAGGAACCATAATTGGAATAGGGTTTTGGTGCATATTGTACCAGAATTATAATAAGGAGCCCCCCCCCCAAATAGTATAGGTAATTATTAAGGTCCCTATGGGGAGTGGGGGCCTGTTAGCGCCTATGAGGGCTTAGAGTTTCAACTCCCACCCTGAACCCTAAACCCTTAACCCCTAAAACCCTTACAAACCCTAAATCCCACAGCCCAGTGGCTTTTGAAAGGCTTACTTAAAGGATCATGGGACTTAGTAAGTAGGGTTACAAATAAGGTAACTATACTTACATTTACTTATAACCCCAAGTAAGGGACTTATAACCTTACTTACTAAATCCCATGGTCCTCCAAGACCATAACCCTAAACCCTAAACCCTAAACCCTAAACCCTAAGCCCTAAACCCTAAACTTTACTTACTAAGTCCCATGGTCCTCCAAGTAGCTAGCCTGCTGCCCGGCGGCCTTCGCTTTGATCAGGTGGTTGAACGCTTCGGGCTTCGGCCTTCCAGCAGAGAAGGCGGAAGTCTATATGGGGACATAGTACCCTAAATAGTAGGATCCTAAAGGTTTTAGGGTTTCGGGGTTTAGGGTTTTGGGTTTTAGGGATATAGTACCCTACATAGTAGGATGCTTATACACAGACTCCAAAATTAGGTACCCCTCATTCTCGGAAACTCTCATATTTCGAGGTTTTCTGATGATCTCTTTAGGGCTGAAGAAAGTGGAGGTTCAGCGTGTATCGGTACTGGTTGAAGATTTAGGCTTGTGGGGTTCAGTGTTGTCTGTGGCTCTGCCAGAGGGTATACATGCAGTTCCGGAGCATTAATTATTCTAGATGGCACAGGGATTTAGGCGCACGCCATGCGATGGCGAGTTGTCGTGTTATTGGGGTCTGCGGTGACTACAGCGATGCGAAAGCAGAGTACTTGAAAGGCGCGAAGCCCCTCAAGCCGATAAGCTCCTGTTTGAGCACGAACTGGAGGAAGTGGGAGGCATGCTGGCCATTGCGGGGCTACAGTTACTACAAGCACTCCAAACGCTTCATTACGAAAGTTGCTATGGGACGGCACCATTATGAGCGGCCGGGCAGTTAAGCGCACTCAGCTGACTTCCCACAGTACTGCCTTAAGCCTAATGCCGAGAAACCTGAGCCCTAAACCTTAAACTCAACTCGAAACCCTAAACCTTAGGTAACCTTAAGCCCGAACCCTAAACCCTAAACACTACACCGCAAACCCTAGCCTAAACCCTAAACCCTAAACTCTAAACTCTAAACCCTAAACCCTAAACTCTAAACCCTAAGCCCGAATGAGCGAGGGATCTTCTCTGCCTGACTCGGACCGCTTGCATCTCTTTCAGCAGCTCCTCGAAATCCTCAGACCTGTCGGCCTGATCATGACTTGCTTCTTTCTAACAAGGGTTTAGGGTTCAGAGTTCAGGGTTTGGGGTTTAGGGTTCAGTGTGTTTAGGGTTTAGGGTTCCGAGCTTAGGGTTTAGGGTATGAGCTGTTGGGCCTCAGTAACTCAAGTAGGCTTTCGGGATGCATTCGGCTATTATTGAAGTGGATATTATAGGGTTTAGGAGGCGTCCTCTGATGCCGCCCGCTTCACAAAAGCACCCATCGAAAAGAGGGAACTTGCTTCTGCATCCTGTTAGCCTAAACCCTAAACCCTAAACCGGGGCGGGCCTCCTGACAATGAGGAAGGAAGCCCTAAACGCCTTGAAATCAGCAATTAAAAATCGACCCGGCACTGCTGCACCATAACAGCTCGTGGCCTGAACTTCCCCAGGACCCTAAACCAAGAAATTATTACGAGTTTCTGCCTGGACTCCATTCATTCTGGTTTTCCTGACTCCAGCCTGCTTATCAAGGCCATTTAGAGTCCCATTAAGTGTCCACCTCTGCATAGCCCTGGAGCAGACGGCCATAGACCGGCCAGCTCGGCTGGATGCCTACCTTAGTGCTACCCGCGATCTCGTCTCGGATGCTGCTTTCTGCCCAGAACACACAACCGAACTTTGATCGCAAGTAATATATATGGGCGGCAGCAATTAGTCGAGGGTGCCGGGGTCCATTATAGCTACAACAAGGAACCCCAAGGAACAGCACTGTTCAGGCTTCTATAGATGTGTGCTCACCATTGCGATTCCTGCGCGTAGCTTGTGAAACTGTAGTTGTGGTCCATGGGTACAGTGGCCATGAAGATGATCGGCTTACTTGAAGAAAGCAGCCCCTGCAAAAACAACAACAAGTCAAGCAGCTAAACACCCAAGCCACACATAAAGCTAAGCAAGATTGGAACTCACCATATATAAGCCAAAGGCACCAAGGAGACAGCAAGTAATGCAAATCGCGGACCGCGGCCCGAATTGTCTCTATGCGAAGAGCCAAGTTCGGTGCCTTACAGAAACATTGTGCTAAACCCTTCAGAAGAAGCTTTATGCCTTCTGAAAAACCCTGAAAGACCCCTTATAGACACTTGTAGAAACCCCCCGAACGCTGCCATAGCGACTCTCTGCATGCGATGGAGCCATCGGCGAACGCCTCTCTTCAAAGACGAGACAAAATTACGACAGACCTGGCCCTGGGCTTGCACGCGCGTGAACTTAGGATTTCGCTTTGGTTCTGTAGGGCGAGGGCCTCACGGTCCCGAAGAAGAATCAAACGGCCATGGGGAAGATTGTCGCCCTTCGGGAAAGCTGGACGCAGGCCGCTCGCAACAATGACGTGAGTAGCCCTGAACACGAGTGCCGACTGGCTGGGGTTGCAGATCTTGACGTGAATAAGAGATTCACAGGCAGAGTACTCGGCATTAAAGATGTGAGCAGATTACTGCAGGCTCAATCTCCCAAACAACAAAAAAGTAAACAATACTTGCATCAGCAGCGGCAGCAGTGATGTGGACACGGAAAAACGGACACTGACAGGAATGGATCATCAGCAAAACTACTATAGGCGCCTTAACTATTTTTAATAGGGTTTGGGGGTATAGTATACTATAACTATAATAAGGAACCTCCAAAACCCTCTTCTAATTATTAAGGTCCCTACACTAAGCCGAAAAGCCTACCGGAGGAGCCTCAATACCAGCACGGCGATGAAGGCGGTGCTACTCGCAGTTGCAGACACCCACAGCCGTGAGTAAATGGAACCGCTTAAGAAAAAAAGAAGCTGGTAGCTTCAAGCTACCTAGTGGTGAAAGCGACGATGCAATCCATTGAAACCTGTCAACCCAGAAAGCTACAACTTTTGTAGCTCCCAACGTTAGGCGCCCTGACGGCCGAGCAACAGCTGCCTTGAACTACGACCCGAAGCAAATCCAAGATCCTGAGTCCCTAACCTCGAACCTTACATGGGGTCTTCGACGGTAGGGTGTGTAAGGGTCTTGCTCCAAAGCCCTTACATGACCCTTGAAAAAGGTATTTTCCTGGGTGCACAAACTCCAACCCTCGTAGCCCCAAATATCCCTGAACCATGAACTTAAACCCGGAAGCCCGCACCCTCAACCCCGCAACCGTTAACCCCAAACCCTAAACCCCCCAAACCCTAAACCCCCAAACCCTAAACCCCCGAACCCTTAACCCTAAACCGTAAACCCCTAAACCCCAAAACCCCTTAACCGTAAACCCCTAAACCCCCGAAACCCCTTAACCGTAAACCCCTAAACCCTAAACCCTAAACCACGTAAGCCGTATCGCCTTGAATCTCGGCCCCTTGGGCCAAGGTCGCCCGGGCGGCGATTAAGGCCACGAGGTTGTCCTTCAAAGTGTTCAGGGCTTTAGGGTTCAGGGTTTTAGGGTTTTGGGTTTTAGGGTTTAGGGTTTTAGGGTTTAGGGTTTTAGGGTTCAGGGTCTTAGGGTTTAGGGTTTTAGGGTTTAGGGCTAGGGGTTGTGTTTAGGGGGGCTCAGAGCTCAACCGTTCAAGCTCTGGGGGGTTAACTGGAGAGTTTGCAACTAGGACGTCAGAGCTATAGTTTTACAGCTTCAGGATTGGCCCTGTTTTCAGTGTAAAGAGTCAGAACTGAGCTCATGTTTGGGAAGCTTCGCGCTGGTGTCTTTGAGGTGTCTTTGACATAGGGTGCATGGTCTAGAATGCTGTTTTACTCTGAGGGCTTAAGTTGCGTGACCTGAGAGTTAGAGGGGTCTGGTGTGAAGGGATGGCTCAAAGCTCGAATTACATGGGGGTTTTCGAAAATTAGGGAACCTTATTCTGGGGTCCTTACAATAAGGTTCCTACTATTTTAGGGTACTATATTTGGGTCCCTATTTCGGACACTCCCACATTGGCCTAGCTCTTAGTTGGCAAAGTGCTCGTCAAAGCGGAGGTGGCTTGGCTCTAGGAAGGCCGGGTAGCAAATAAGCAGGCTACGTATCGTACAAGCCGCAAGCTCCAAGTGTGTACATATACACGGTATATGTAGAAAATAGATATAGATACATACACACATCTACATATATACATATGCATAACCTGAAGCAACGGAATGGGGCCACTGTCTGAAGCCACAAACAAGCCTACATTCCTGAATCGTAAATATTAAAAATCCAGGGCACTGAAATTTGATCCGGCAACTCTGAAACCAAAAACCAAACCTCTCAATCCCAATTCTACAAGCAAAACAAAAAGCGCCAGTCTCTACCCGACCGCATACCCAAAAAGCTGAAAGTGAAAACCCACGCCATCTTAAACCCTGCTGTATACCCTACAAGCCTAAAGCCCTGCCTCCCTGTCTCTCTCTGTCTCTCTCGTTCGCTCGCCCTTCGAACCCCCACCTCCGCCTCCTTCTGGCGGCTCGCAGAATCCGAATCCACGGCACCGGCTCTGCAGGGGGGGAAGGCTACATCTTCTGCTTGCTTTCGAGGCCGTTCGGCTTAGTGCCATCGTGAAAGACTTTGAGGAACACATCATACCTTGAACAGGGCCTTGCATGTAGACCCCTGATGAATCCACCCGCTTCGCTGAGGCCGAAGCGGTCAGAGATGGTCAGAGGTTCCCTTTCGCCTCCTATCCTCAGCCCCTTGAGGCCCCCCCGACCCTGAACTCACAGACGAGCCCCAAATTGCAGTTTGCAAAACCCAGCCCTTTCTTCATCTGTGAACTCATTGACCGACCGGCAAGTTCCCTGCTCTAAATGGGTTTAGGGTTTAGGGTTTAGGGCCTAACCCCCCCCCTCTCCTCGCCCGCCCCCTTCTCGGCCTGCCCTTCCTCCTACGTCCCATTTTCTGCCTCTGCGGCCGTACCAGACCGGGCCGAGGCGGACGACGCGAAGCGTTTTGAATTAGAATCCCTGCTGCAATCACGATTAAGGGAGAGGTTTGTTATTCGATCAGGGGTCTCTTTATGGTTCAAGTTACCTAGAGCGCTTTCAGGTTCGACGGGGCTCTAGGACTCACACTTTCATCTCGACTTCACACAAGCTGCCCCATAGGATAGAGCCCTGAACCCCTAAACCTACATGCAACATAGCTGCGAACCGATCCATCATTTCTGAATCGCTAATATAGGGGCCTCAATTTTTAGAATAAGGTTTTGGGCCCATTATACTACAACGATAAGGAGGAGCCCCCAAAAGAGTGTAGGTAAATATTTAGGCCCCTGGATTTCTCTGTTTGCGCAGAGTTCTCGCGAGCTGATGAGCTTGGGTCAAGTCGACACCCCTCAAAAGCCTGTATTTTCCGGCATTTGCAGGCTTTGACAAGTGCGAGGCTCCAAAATTCCTCGTGGTTTTGCAGTTGTCTAGGTCTCCAGAACTGAATGCAACCTTTGCAAGACTGAAAACTCGAGACACTCCTTGTCGGAGCTGCATTGGGAATCACAGTTTCAAGGCCCGCAAACCACAACCTGCAGACAGGCCGAGTAAGCCTCTTATGCCAAGCGTCTTGGGGGATTCAACCGAAGCAAGGCTCAGTTGATGAATTGGGACAGTGATCTGACATACACCCCAAACCCTGAATCCGAAAAACTTGAAGCCTACCTATAGTCTCCATTGTAGTTCCTTTTTGGGGTTACCTTATAGGGTCCTAAATATAGAATTGGTTAAACCAAAGAAAGGAACTACAATGGAGACGATAGGTAAACCGTCTGAACTGAATAGCCTGGCGAGGTGCAGGTTGCCGCTGTCCGCGATCTTCAGAAGCTTCGTGGTCCAGTTGTCAGCCTGAGCAAACTACCATTAAACGCCGGAAAAGGTGCCCTTTGCGTATGTTTAGGTTAAAGTCCATGAATAGGTCCCATTTTCAGGCTTCATGTTAGCTTCAACTGAACTTTTCGGTTCAGGGTTTTAGGGGTTTGGGATGGGGATTTTGGATTGCAGCGCTTAAACTCGGACACGCCATGGGCGACACACATGTCCGCGAGACCTGGCATGGAGGTGGCTTCTGGAAAGCGAAGTTAACCCAGGCAGTCAGCAAATCGGGTGGGGAGGTTTGGGATTTCTGGGGCGACTGTCCTGCTGAAAAAGTTTACACGCCGGCGAGGCAGGCCGGACTAATGTTTATGGCTCAGGGTGACGCAATTGTCCTGCACTCAAGGGCCAAACCAACAAAGTGTCTCCAGTCTTGGGTTTTTGGATTATGGTCACCCTCAATTATGGTAGGATCATATAAGCCCCAAAAGGTAAAAGTTACCTACTCAGCCACTTTGTGGTTGTTGTGCACATGGCTGTCTCGGGTTTTGATAAACGGCCCAGTGGCGGTCTGGAGCTCGCCGCTCTGTACGCAGGCACGGACAAAGGCGACCAAGGCCCAACGATCCACTTTCCTGGTGCCCCTATTCGATCCCCAGCCTAAGACTCCCTTACACAAAGAGTCTATTAATTGGAGACTGAACTTGTTTGGGTAATGACAAGAGCACTTCAGAATTTGCGTACTTGTATTTATTGATGAGGGGAGTTAGACTTCCTTCACTCACTCTCAGCAAAGCGAGGCAAGGATTCATGTCAGCAGCCTCAGAACCGTCGCAAACGAAGCCGGCAAGCCTTAACAAATCCCAGAAACACAGGCTGCATCAAGTATCCAGCGTCTACGGCTTAGGGAGTCCAGGGTTCGCGGACCTTGTGTGTTTGAATCCTGGTTCGAGTCCACATAAGGGCGGAGCCGGTATAACAAATCCCGGAGACTCCAAAATCTCGTCTCTCCAGCAGACTATGAACCTCAACTTTGATCTGAAGAATCGGATACCCTAAACCCTAAATTAGCCGGATTCTGAAATGTGGAGCGTTGGACTGTCCAATAGCTTAAACTTAAACTCCACGCTAGGCGTGGGGCAAACTCGGATCCTAAGGCCAGGATGCGACGATCTTGAGGCCTTGGGTGTTAGACACAGAGTTCTTGCAGAAGGGACAGAGCTGTTCTAGAGTAGCGCATGGGCCAGAATGTTTCGAAGACTATCCTTTAGAATGTCCGATTCCAGGTGAGTTCTTTGAATGTGAAGGCCTCCACCCTGAAGCCTCAAACCCCAGCTTCTCTGCAAGACACCTGTCAAGCTTGCGGCGAGTCGCTCGATCTCCGTGCAGGACAGCCACATTTCGGCCTGCTGATGCACGGACTTCGGCTAACAAAGGAAGGATAATCGACCAGCAACGACATCAAGATACAACACAGTGGTCACCCCCTTACCTGGGTTCGTTGCTGACCTGTGCGATACAGACCGTGCAGAACAAGGGGCCCTACAGCAAAAAGCAATCAGAATCTAGTAACATGCCTTATGTCGGCAGGGTCTGCATGTCAGGTTTCTACCTATAGTCTCTATTGTAGTTCCTTTTTGGGGAAGCCTTATAAAATGCTCAATATATAATTGGTTAAACCAAAAAAAGGAACTACAATAGAGACTATAGGTAGAGTCTCATGAAAGGCTTGGGATCTGTCTCCGGGTGCAGTAACTGACCTGACGGAATTCAGACAGGGCTGTCAGTACTGAAGTCTCGGGCTGAAGGCATCAGGCAGGCATCGCCTGTTGCTATATGGGGGTTTCCGAAAATAGGGGGTCAAAATCTAGTACCCTATAATAGGATCCTTATTATAAGGACCCCAAAATAAGGTACCCTAATTTTCGGAGACTCCCATATGTAGCTGTAGTTACTGTAGTTCTTCTACCCTCAACCCGAAAGGTGCTACCATGGGCTCAGAACCCTCTGTTGCGCAGTGGGGCATACTTCGCCACCGGTTTCCCTTCGGTTGCAGCAGCGGCTGCAAGCTCCTTGCTCCAAGCCGCAAGTCTAAGCCCGCTCCAAAGCCGTCAAACGACGAGCCCGAACCCTAGTATACGACAATAGAACACATGATAGTGTCTATAATGATAGAAGATGCCGTGATCGACTTTACTAAACAATGATGATATGTATAATAGACTATACACCATGGCACACCATGAAACTATACGTCAATATACTAACTCCCTCATCGCAGCCTCCCGGAGGCGTCCCGCTCGCGCCCAGGCTCCCGCAAGCTGGGAGCAAAGAGAAGGCTCCCGAAACAGCACATCGGCCCTTCAGGGTTGTTAATGTAGGGGCCTAATTGATTTCCAATACTATTTTGGGCTCCATTTTATGATTACAGTATAATGGGCCCCGAAACCCTATTGAAATGATTCAGTCCCCTATATTAGGGGCTAGGTCTGTGACTCTCACGGCTCCTGCAGGAAGCTGACGTTCGTCTTGCAGTGGGGCGGTTTAAGCAGCTTAAGTAAGCTTCGACCGAAACCAGCGGCAAAAGGCGGCTTAGGGGGTGCCTGTCGCAAGTCCAGGAAAGAGTCATTGATGTTACGTCAGCAGACGATGCCGAATCTAGGACCTAGGAATCATGATCTTTCGCACGAGAGGCTCAATCATTGCGGGAGCTGCAACCGCAAGCTTTCTGAGCAACATCCGCAAGCTTGAAATCTCAGGATTGCACTCACTCACTCACACGCTCAATGGAGGGAAGTCTACGAGTCTTGCCCGAAATTAAAAGCCCTCTGAGAACAGCCAATTTGACCCACAGGTGTCCCTCTCCACTGCCCGAGAATTTTGCGCCCCTAGGCCCTAGGCCACATCCCCCACCTTACGGGTTGTGCTCCGCCATCATGGGATAGCCAGCGCTTCTCCAGGGCGGAGGCCCAGGTATATTCGCCAGCACGGATGTAATCCTTCACAGTCGGGACATCCAAGCTTCACAAGTCACAGGCCTGGTCTGGGGCGGGCACAAGGACTGTACCGTACTGCTCTATCCTATACCATCATTATACTATCGGGCATCGTACTCTACTTGTAATGCCCCAGGCCCTATGGTTGGGGTTCGAATCCATTGAATTTTATCGTAGCTGCTATCCCTCCTCGCCAGAGGACAGGTGTCTGTAGGTTATATGTACTACCCACTCAGCTAAATTGCTGAATGCTGAAGAATCCATCCCCCCAATCCCCTCAGCAGGCGACAGTCACGACAATTTGTGCATTACAACAGCCTTCGTTTACGATATACCCCCTGCTCCCCTTGTCTTCAGCTCGAGCCAGAACCGCAAAAGTGAATAGCTTATCTTTCGTTCTCACGGCTCTGACGGGATTTCCTGGCTTAGATGGTTTCCCTGGCTACTTTGGCTCGAAAACTTAATTCGGGTTTGGGGGGGTCGACCCTACATCAAGTCTTCCCACTCCAGTTTCAAGCCCGATCCTAGGGCTAAGGCGTGGGGTTCTTAAAAGGCTCTAGAACTGCAAAGTGATTCCCGCGCTCAGTCCCGGATGATATTGGCCATCAGTCGTGTATCTTCAGGAGCGAACTGGAGGACCTCTCAATGCGATTCCAGGAGGTTTAGTGTTTGGGGCATGTGGGGGTTCACATACTGCTGCCAAGCCCTCAACCTTCAACGACCTTCGACAATGCGCTGATTTCAACGACCAGCCATAAGCATTCACGATTTCGTGTTTTCGACCCAATGCTCGAGCATAATGCAGGTAAGAAGCTCGAATCCCCTGACCCCTTTCTACCTATGATCTATATGCCCGCACAATCCCCATCTCTCCAAACTCCCCTACACCCCGCAACAAACCCTCATGTGGCAGACACTTCATTTCCTTGGCCGATACCTAATTCAAACCCCATGAACACCCTAAGCCCAAACCTCTGAAGCGCCAAACTCGCACATGCCCAAAGCCCTCAACCCCTCATCTAGAACAGCACCCCAAATCCATCAAGCCTTTTTTGTGAGCAGGGACTGCAATGCACTAAGCCCTGAATCCCTTCAGCCAAGCTCCAGACTCCGTCAAGCCTAAAACCCGGAATCCTAAGAACCTTTAAGCGCAGTAACCATTACTATAATGAGCTAGCCCTTCTCTAGCCCTCAAGAAGCCCTAAAGACCCTAAACCCTAAACCCTAAACCCTAACAGACCAGGGCTGCCTCTTCCACTGCCTCCACCGCAGCATCCAGCAGAGAGGACTCTGGCTCGACATCGGAGCTGATGGCCTCAAGTTTCGGGGTATAGGGTCTTTTTCCCCTCTAGGCTATAGGGTTTATCGCTTTATAGGACTTTAGGGGGGGGGGGGTGGCCTCAAGTTTAGGGTTGTACGGTCTTTTCCTTGTAGGGTATAGGGCTTATGACTTTATAGGGCTTTAGGGGGGTTTAGGGAGGGGCTTAGAGTTTAGGGTTTAGGGCATAGCGAAAGGGTTTAGGGTTGAGGCTCAGGGGTGTTTGAGGCTTTCGCGCTTAGGCGGTTTGTTGCTTCTAAGGGCAAGAAGTTTTGGGGCCGGCCCACTATACCATAATCATAATAAGAAGCCCCCAAAATCGTTTAGGCAAACATTAAGGCCCCTACTTTACAGGGTGATCGGATCGGCAAGGGCTTTATGATGTCAGATATACTCGGGGTTTAGGGGTTTAGGGTGAAGGGGTTTTGGGGTAGGTTTTGCTGTTTTGGCAGGGGTCATGGGGAAGCGCGGTCTTTTGAAAGGCTTCATGGATACTGTCGATTCCATATGCGTCTTATGCACACGAGGGTGTTCTACTAGCAGCCAGGATTGTATAAGAAGCATCTACGGAAGGTTTCGGCATGTGTCTGTTTTGTTTTCGTGGAGTGGGCTCTTTGGCTGCAAGGTCTTAGGGTCTTGAGGGTTCAACGAGGCTTCGGGGTTTTGTGGTTGGGGTTTCGAGACTCGCAGTCTGGAGGATTGTGTGAGGCTTTCCGGGTCATAGTGGGCTTCGCACTCCACCCATGCGGAGCACGGAGTCGTGCAGACTGCAATCACTAGACCAACTTTGGGAAAGAAAGGCTCTATGTCGAAAAACAACAAGAGCAGCAGGAGTGCCTGCAGCGTGCTGCCGGAGCAGTCGAGTAGGAAAAGCAGCGGCGGGAGCAAGAGTGGTACCGTAGCTGTGGTAGTGATGCTCGCAGTCGTGGTGGCGATGGCAAGGCCACTCCAAGTAGATTATAGAGCAAGGGTTGCTTGATGTTGCACAGCGAAGACCAGAGCAACAATTGCTGTCGCCATCCTTGTGCAACGTGCGGCCGAAGACTGTCCGATACGAAGATGTTGATAAACCCCCAAGTGGTAGGATCATAACCCTTAATTTCAATAATATTTCTACATGAATCCGACGCCCTCGCCTGGACGCGGACGGAGCAGGAACCACGGCAGGCCCGAGTGCATCGAGGCCAGGCATGCGACAGAAACCTTGTCCATCGTTGCGGGGAAGGTTTCATTGCACTAATTCTTGAGGCACTTGGCCTGTACTTTAGAATCAGGTGCGGCTTACACAAATTTCACAACATTTCTGCGGAAATAGTATCACAGTGATAGCGACGATAACATACCTAAGGTTACATTAATTACCGCCGTGCTTCGGTCGTTCGTTTAACGCAGACCCGGCTCAGAGTAAGCACAGAACGACAGTGCCGGAAGGGCCAGGCATATACATCGTGCACTTCAAGATTAGTGCGCTGTATCCTGGAACTATCAGCTATCAGTGCCTCCGTGCGCTTCTCCGTCGGTCCTTGTGGTTGCTTTGACCCAACCCTACTTACGCACGTGGACATCGCCCCAGCAAGTCTTGAAGCTTGGCGCTTCGCTTCTTGTCTTGCGACAAGGGATTCGATGTTGGGATGCTATCTTCCGGCCGCCAAGAGGCCAAACGCCGGCGCCGACTTTGCATGCTGGCTGCAGCTGGACCTTCAGACGCTTCAGGCATTCAGGGCCCAATGACTCATTATCAACGCCAAACCTGTTGGGGTGCTGTGCGGGGCTGAAGGTTCAGGGGTCGAAGACTTGATTCCTACCAGAGGCTCAGAGTCTCAGCATCAGCATCCTCATTACCCTTTCAAACCTACCTAGTAGGGTTTTGGGGTATATAACGTTGTTATAATACGGACCCCCCCCCCCCCCNNCCCCCCCCCCCCCCCCCAAAACACAATTAAAATTGATTAAGGCCCTTACATTACCTACTTCACATTCTCATGCTTTCGGGGCCCATGGCTCCCGCCTTGGCGCCCCGAAGCCGGCCAGCGTGCGGCCTCCAGGGCCCGCCAGCATAGTACACATAGTATGTGTCGTTTATATACTCTATAATATATATATATATATA